ATCCACAATGCGGCACCTTCCTGTTCTTTTGCCTTCCTGGATATGGAATGGTAGACAGGGTTGGCTTAGTCTTTTGTAAACACTGGGGATTTCACTAACATAGTATACAATAGTTTCAAAATGGTTTGGGGTCTCTTGTGGTTTATTTTGTTATTTATTATTATTATTATTATTATTATTATTATTATTAACACCTAGCTGTTATGTAGTGCTTTTCACCGATAGATCTCAAAACACTCTGCAATGGAGATCAGCATTGTTATACCCATTTTTTGCAAATGGGGAAACTGAGGCACAGGCAGTAAAATGACTTGGCCAAGGTCACTCGGCAGGTCAGTGGCAGAGCCAGGAACAGTATGTCTACTTAGATATTTCTAAATATTACATGCCTATCTGCAACTAAGCCATTGTACTAAAGTTCCCTGAAATAGTCGCTACTATTCCACAAAAGAGGCTGGCTGTAACAGCCAGCAGTGCAAGAGTTAAGGCACTGATATTCTCATACACACACACACACATCAGGCTAAAATCACTGAAATCAATGGAGTTACACTCACAGGCCTCAATCCCACAATCTGATCCATACTGATGGACCCTTATCCTGAATCCCACGGGGATCTGCATGGATGTGAGGGTTTAGTCACATGTATCGGGATATGGAATTGGGGCCAGCAGAGAATGCATCCTATGAAGGTCCACATTCAAAATCCATTCCTTGTGTCTTTCAAATACAATATAATCCTGTTTAGTTCCCTCTGCTCCAGTTAGGAGACTGAGGAATTGTTAACAGGTTTGTTTTATAAAGATGTCCCTATCTCACAGGCGCGTGAGATGAGGGATGCGACTTTTGAGAATTCCTCTGAGGCCTTTGGCTGAAATATATGCAAAGCTGCATGGGAAGGCATTGTTACAAAGTAAGTATTTTCATAGGGCTGCTGTTTTATTTCAACCCTAGGCAACTCATTTTTAGTGAAAAAAAAAATTAGCCTCCTGACATTCCTGACACAAAAATACCAGGAGTGAGATCCCCGGCCAGTGTAAACGGGCGTAGCTTCACTGAAGCCTGTAGGCGCACCAGTGTGCCCTAGAGGTCAGAGCATAGCTCTGTGAATTGTGTTGCAAAAAACACGTAACTGAGATGATAGCCTGATTTTTCACTCAGTTACACAGATGTAAGCCCTGAGCCGTCGCACTGAAGTCGCTCTAGATTGAAGCGGGTGTAACCAAGAGCAGACTGCAGCCCATGTTTATCTTTGCAGCAGGGTGAAGTTTCCTGTCTGGAAATGACTCCAAGCCTTGGAGCGCTGCCTGGAACCGGAGCTGCTTGTGCTGAAGGGGGTCTGCTATCGCCTGGCATTTCCCTGGTCTTCCGTTTCTCCCGAAGACTTTTACACGGGTGCACAAGGAGTCGGGGAGGGGTTCGATCCTGGCCGCTCCCACAGCAACGGAAACAGGACCCGCTCCAGCGCACTGCGTGGTGACGATGGGCTTGGAACGGATACACAAGACATTCCAGCGTCTCTCAAAGTCCCACCCATTCAGCAAATTCTTAGCGTGGCACTTTCCGGGCCAGATGAGCATTAACCACCCAGAGGCCCACAGGGAGCAAAGCTTAGCAGCTGAACTGACTTGCTTTGCTTTACCCAAGGCCCGCTAGGGCCTGATCCAAACCCCACCAAGATCTGTGGTCTTTGGATCAGGCCCCAAGTGCACAACAGCCAGACCCTCACCGGCCTATTAAGCAAAAGCTCTGAACAAAAACAAAAAATCAATTTGATATGTTCTTTAAATGGAGGGCGGGGGAGAGGGTGATCCTGGGCCTGATCCTTTCCCCACTGCCATCTCTGGGAGTTTTGCCCTCGACTTGAAAGGGAACAGGTTTGTCTCTTGTTTTTTGCTGTTAGCCAGAGGAGACCAACTATGCTGCCCTGACCATGGAAGGCAAACTATAGACTTGGACCCTTGGGTCGAGTTTTGGGGACAGTTGCACTGGGCTACTTGGACAAAAGGGGCGAGCTTTAGACTTCAACTCTTGGGTCACTTTGGGGGACTATTGGGCAGGGCTGCCCTGTAAAAAGAGGTTAGGTGTATGTTGAGCCGGGCAGCTTGAAGGCGGAGGGAATAAACAGACTCCCAAGTGAAATTAGACTTTGATGGGGGAGAAGCAGGGTGGGGGCAAGTATGCTAGGGCTGGGCTGGGCCACACATCACCCTCCTCTCCTCCCCCAGGGACATGGTCATCCTCAGAGCCGTGTGGCACCCTGTACAAACTAATGAAATGGAAAGGAGTAAAGAGCAAACGCTCAGGCAAAAGTTTACCAAGGAGAACTGAAAACCACCAAACCCTGGAAGAGCAGTTGTTTGCTGCTTACATTTGGATATGCGTAAGGTGAGAGAGGGATCCCCAGTCTGCTTTGAGTGGAACTACTATAACCTTTTCATTCTTTTCGCCAGGGACGGACCATGGTGCTGGGCCCATGCTGGTGATATTCTCTCACCCACAAACAGCATCTTTTCTTCCAAGGAGTGGGGGAGGGATAGCTCAGTGGTTTGAGCATTGACCTACTAAACCCAGGGTTGTGAGTTCAATCCTTGAAGGAGTCATTTAGAGATCTGGGGCAAATCTGTCAGGGATGATAGTTGGTCCTGCCATGAGAGCAGGGGACTGGACTCAACAACCTCTCACAGTCCCTTCCAGCTCTATGAGAGAGGTATTTAAATAGGCTCACTTAAACTGAGATCACTTCCCCACCACTGAAATGCAGCCACTGCTGGGGTGAAACACAGCAGCTGTGGGACAGCAACACTAAGCCACCAAGGTTGAAGTGCAAATGATGGTGTGCTCCATGGACAGCCATGGTGCAAGGTAAAGAGGCAGAGTGTAATTACCCCATGCCAAAATGCAGCCATGCTACTGAGGCTAATTCTCGGTGCTATTTCAAATTGGCCAGGACATTAGTTAGGTATTTCCTAACGTGCCGCTTGGGGAACAGATGCAGGACTGAATGATTAGTGAGCTAGTCTGTCTATTAAATTGGTTCTAGTTCCTCCCATGTTTTGTCCAACACCTGCTCAGGTTACCAAATCACTCGCCGCACAAAGAAAGCGGATTCCTAGGGGGCCCTCCCTGAAATTGAAATGTAAATCTGCAAAATGGCAGCTGACTGTGGCTCCCTAAGCCCCGGGACGGCAGCAAAGAGTAATATTGGTCTCACAGCCCATACCGTGGCCCCACGGGCTGTCTCGCTTTGATAATGCGCCTTGTGTCTGGATGCCGACCTATGTCCCAGCTGGGAGACGTGGGCCTCTGTGGCTTGGAAAGGCCTCTTGCTCAATCAGAATGGAGCTACTGAAAGATGTATGAAGCCCATTTCAATTCAGTATTAAGCAGCCAATAAATATTAAACCGTGATGAATATTTTAAAATGTTAATAAAGAACAATAGCCTGGAAGGCTCAAAAATGATTAAAGCGGGGAAGGGGGTGGCCTGTGAGGGGCACGATGGTGCGGGGTTTGAACAAGCTGTCGGAGAGCTGCTGGTCCAGAGAAAAGAAATGCAAAATATGCTTTTTTTTAAAAAAGGAAGGGGGGAGGGAATCTTGGGGACTGATTCTCCACTGCCTGGCATGGACACCTGTTCAGAGTGGGTGTGAAATGCTCCCACCCCTCAACAGCAACCTCTGGAGTGGCCCTAGAGCAGTGGTCACCAACCAGTCGATCAGGATCTATTGGTAGATCTTGGTGCCTGTGACAGGTGATCCTGACGGGTTTGGCTAAGAGGCTACTTCAGCTGCCTTGCCCCCCACTGCGGCACACCTCCCACCCTTTGCCTTGGAGTTGCCTCTCTCCTACCCCCCAAAAGCCTCCTGTTTGGGGTACAGGGAAGGGAGAGGAGGGGGTGCTGATGCCCTCTCCCATCCTATATTCTATCTCCACACAATGGAGCAGGCGCCACACACAATGTGGAAGGCTTGGGAGGGAGGGAGTTTGCTGGCTGCTTTTGGGAGTGGTGCAGGGCCAGGACAGGGGTGAGCCTGCCTTTGCTCCAGTGCTCCACCACCTAGGAGCCACCTGAAGTAAACAGGGTCCAGCTGGAGCCAGCTCCGAACCCCTGCCCCAGTCATGAACTCCCTCCTGCACCCCAAACCCGTATCCTAGCCCTGAGCCCCTGGATCCAAACTCCTACAGAGCCTGTACCCTGAACCCCATCTCCCTGCCCCCAGCTCAGCTCAGAGCCCCTCTCACACTCCAAATCCCTTAGCCCAAGACCAGAGCCTGTGCCCCCGCCTGGTGAAAGGGAGGGAGGACGGAGTGAGCAGGGGCAGGGCCACGGAGAGGGGGCAGGAAGGAGGCGGGGCCAGGGGATTTAGGTGTGAGGTAGATCCTGGGCCGCACTTAAATTCAGAAAGTGATCTTGTGCTTCAAAAGCTTGGAGCCCCCTGCACTAGACGAAAGCAGAGAAGAATCAGGCCCGCGGGCTGCCGAGATGCTGTGTGTCTTTAACTCCCTCTGACTTGAGTGGGAGCGACGGGGCAGAATCAGGCCTTGCCCAGGATGGGCTGGAGGCTGCTCTTTGGCTGTTCCCCCCGAGCAATCAGAGCACCCACCACAAAGCCACCCACCGGCCGTCAGCACATACCAGCAGATTCATTCCTGCACTGAACGATGGGCCCTTGTATGAATCTCATACAAGGACACACGTGGGCCTTGGCTCAGGCCCGGCAAGCGCTCAGAGCTGCTGTATGGTGCTTGAATGGCCTCGGCGGAGCTTTGCAGGGATGCAGAGTCACCTACGCACCTTGGACTTGTCCCCAGAGTCTCTCTGGAGCTCAGAGCTGCTGTGGGGGCCGCACAGCTACCAGAGCCATCTCTGTGCCTCTATAGAGCTGAGCGCCTGCTGTGTGGCCCCTCTCTGCTGGCCTCGCTCAGCCCTGGGCTGGACTGAAGCTGCTCACATCTTTCCCGGGATGGAGGACCACCCCCCTCAGGGGGTCACCTACCTACAGCTGGCACGTTGTTGCTGTACGTGAGGTTCACCACCTTCTTCTCTCTCTCTGGCTCCGTCACGGAGACCCGGAAGATCCTGCGCTCATGGAGGCCGCAGTAGTGATGGTGGAGGTGGCAGGAGTACGTGCCCTCATCCGCGCTCTCCAGAGCCGAAATCCGCAGCGAGAAGTCGCCCAGGGCGAAGGCCGTCTCGGTGATGTTCATCTTCTGCCGCATGAAGAGCGGCCCGTAGGAGCGGCGCTCGCCGGAGGCGTACAGGTCTATGAGGCGGTCGGCCCGGTCGTGGGGCACCCCCGGGGGCTGCCTGTCCCAGTGGATCACTTGCTGCTCCTCCTCACTGTGCCGCTCAGTCCAGATCTGGTTCCGGTTCACGCACGGAAGCACCACGGTGCTGTCCCGCAGGGCAATGACCACCGCCTTCTCGCCGTCCCAGTACCTCTTCGCTTCCGCGGCTGCAGAGAGGGCACACGAGGCAGCTGGGTAAATAGATACGGTCCCATTTCATCGGGAAACAACCCAGGGCACCCGTCCTAATTATACTTCATAGCTCCCGCCGCTCTGCGGGCTAGGGCCAATGGCTTTTCCTGTGCTAGGAGCCACCGAGAATGAAACAATGATGCTCTCCTAGAGGGATGTGAAAAGTCGTTTAAAAATGGAACTACTGTAATTGCTAAAAATCCTAAAGCAGGGGTGGGATTCCCTGGATTCGTTCCCCAAGGCTCAGGGTCCCCCACAGCATTGGGGAGCCCACGCTGGCACTCCAGCTCCTCTGCTGTCCCACCGTGGGGCTGGAGCACACAAAATCTTCTAGGCTGGGCCCCCCTCGGCTCTGGTGCGTGAGGGGAATGTGGGGAGGGTCTTTCTCCTTCTCCGTCAGGGGCCACTTTTTTCGGTTTGGGTTTTTTTTTTTTGTTTCTCTGTTGTGTGTGGCCCCCGACTGATTTTTCTGCAGGTCAGTGGCCCCCGACTCAAAAAAGGTTCCCCGCCCCCATCCTAGAGGTTACACGTGGTACGGGCTCTGCAGCATAAAGCTTATATATAAGCTTTATACTGCAAAGCCCGCAGCTAAGCCAGCTCCCTGGGAGTGGGGCTGGCAGGGGCTGCTGGCCCTGCCCCTGGGGAGGTTTCGCTGCTGCCTTTGCAGTATAACTTTGGCTGGAGTAGCCCCTGCCTGTGGTGGGCCCTGTGGGGCTGGACAGCTGCTCCAGCCCTATCAGTTAACCAGAACGGGTAAGCCTCATCCTTAACCGTAACTGGTGAGGCTTACCGGTTAACTGGCTAACCATTTACAAACCTACTCTCCTACTCTGCGCTTCCACCCAAGGATCTCAACGTGCTCCGCAGCCTGAGCCACTTGGAGGGGAAGCGCCCGGCTCAAACCGAGCTAGGAACCGAACGCAGGACTCCTGGGTTCCTGTTTAGTGTGTTGACTGCAAGCCCGTCATTCTCCCTGGCAGCAGAGAGTCTGCCGCTAGCCTCTCCAATGACTGAGAACGGAACAACAACAGCAGACGATTTTCAGCGCGCTGGGTCCCAATTCTCCAAGCATCTCAGGCAGTTCCTTGTGTGCGTTGCTGCCCCCAACACCTTAATTACTGAGGAGTGACAGGATCTCTGGCTTGCAGACTGCTGATGCCACGCAATGAAAAAACCCAAAAAGCAGCCGGAGGCTCCCGGAGACAGACTGGGGGTTTTGATGTAACAACAGCAGACGATTTTCAGCGCGCTGGGTCCCAATTCTCCAAGCATCTCAGGCAGTTCCTTGTGTGCGTTGCTGCCCCCAACACCTTAATTACTGAGGAGTGACAGGATCTCTGGCTTGCAGACTGCTGATGCCACGCAATGAAAAAACCCAAAAAGCAGCCGGAGGCTCCCGGAGACAGACTGGGGGTTTTGATGTAATGAAGAGAAACAGGGAGAGCAGAAAGCAGAAGATGCTGCTCCCTCCCCATCCCACCACCTGCTTCTAACCAGTTCCCCCTATGCTTGTTGAATACTCAGCATCGGCCAGGCAGGGCCATCTTGGCTCTCGCCCAGCGCTAAGACAACAGGGACCTGCTGGAAAGCCAGCAGCCTGGTCAGCCTTGACAAGATGGAGGTGATGCTAGCGGCAAGGGGGAACGGCTGCAGCTGTGGTTTTCACACGACAGGTCGCGACCCAGTCGTGAAATTCCACAGTTGTGGAATGTCGGGCACTGGGACTCGTTGCTGCAGGGGGATCAGGTGACCAATGGGAGCGGGGGGGGGTGCTAAGGCAGCTCCCTGCTTGTCCTGGCACCACAGACTGTGCTGCGCCCCAGAAGCGGCCAGCAGCAGACCCAGCTCCTAAATGGCGGAGAGTGCACAGGGCTCTCTGCGCACTGCCCCTGCCCCGTGCACCAGCTCCGCACTCCCATGGGCTGGGAACCTGCTGCTGGCTGCTTCTGGGGTGCAGCATGGCCTGCGGTGCCAGGAGAGGCAGGAAGCCGCCTTAGCACCCAGCTGCACCGCTGAGTGGGAGCCACTCAAGGCAAGCCCCTCCTGCCCCAGCCCTGACCCTCGCCCAAAGCCAGAGCCCCTCCTACACCCCAAAGCTCTCCTCAGCCCCACCCTGGAGCCCACACTCCCGTCCCATCATGTTGTGTTGCGACATCAACAATTTTCCAAAACTGGGTCATGAGAAAAAAAGTTTGAAAACGGCTGCCCTAGAGCACGCCCTGAGTAGCAGTCCCTAGCCGCTCCCCCTCTTGTCCGGATGGGAGGCGCAGTCAGGGTTCCTTCGCCTTGGAGGTCTCTAGAGGCCTCGTTCTCTGACCACCGCGCAAGGCAGATTTCTTTGGCCAAGCATCTAGCACAGACTGTTGCCGGGGAGGGTTTTGGAATGGCCGGCGGGGGCAGTAGGAGGCGAGGCAGTTGATGGGACAGTCTGTTGCAGGCACTCGATGTAATGGGTTGCTTTTACTGGGTGGCACTGGCCCAGGCGGCACGGAGACGGGTGCAGGAAATGCAGGCTGGATGTCAAACAAACCAGCGAGCTGGGACACAGCCAGACTGCCATGGCACGGACTGAAACCTCACCGCTTGCTAGAAGGTGCCGTGAACACCGATGTCTCTTGAGGTGTAGCACCATTCCCATGCAGCGCCCGTGTCCCCTCCCCTGCCCGGCTCCCTGCCTTTGCACTCACCCCCTTGCTTTCCGTGAGGCAGCGTGCGGGAGCAGGCTGGGCTGTGACCAACATTGGCCGCGAGCCCAGGGTGCAAGTGCTGGGAAGTACCCCCTGAAACCCACCAGGCTCTCAGGGGGCAAGCCCAGGGTGCAAGTGCTGGGAAGTACCCCCTGAAACCCACCAGGCTCTCAGTGGGCACAGCCTGCCCGCCCCCCGCCCCTCCTCCCCCCGCCCAGCGTTCTCTGCCGTCGTTCACACCTTTACCTTTCTCGGTGACCTGCAGCTGGATTTTCACCGTTTCGTACAGGTGGCAGTAGTGATGGTGGAGGTTACAGGAGTACGTGCCTTGGTCGCTCTCTGCCACATCTAGCACGAGAGGAAAAAAGAACATTTCGGAGCCAAGTGAGGATTGTTGGCAGATGTTTGTGTGGCCCCTTCCTTGCAGCCCCACGCAGGGCTGTACGGGAGGCACTTTGGAGGATCAGGGCCGTCGTCTTACTGCAGCGATGAGCTGATTGGTGGAGGGGGAGGCAGGGTGGGCACATGCACAATTTGGTCCCAGATCATGAACCGTGATTGGCTGTTTGAATGATTATTGGCATGGCAATAACACCAGCCCTGGCCAGGACTGTGCTATGCACTGTATATCCCCAGACTTAGGCTATGTCTACACAGCAGCGTTATTTCAGAATGATGTTATTCTGAAATATCATAGTCTGCGTCTACACACAAGCAGACATAATGTCGAAAGAATGTTGAGCCAGAGGACTGCTTACTCCGACTCCTGTAACCCTCATTGTACGAGGAGTAAGGGAAGTCGGGGGAAGAGCGCTCTGTTTCGAAATAACTGCAGCGTAGACAGCACCAAAAGTCGAAATAAGCAATTTTGACTTCAGCTACGCAATTAGCATAGCTCAAGTTGCATAGCTGATTCTGAGTTTAGCACTGCTGTGTCGATGTGCCCTAAGAGACCCAACGAGCTTACGATCTGCGTAGACAAGACAGAGGTGGGGGGAAGGCAGGATTATCATCATGCTGAGGCACAGAGCAATTAAGTGATTTGACAAAGGCACACAAGGAGTCAGGGACAGGCCTGGAACTCAGCTCAGCCTCGTCCCTAGTCCAGCACTTGCCCATAAAGCCATCCTTCCTCTCGATCCCCCGCCTCCACTGCCCATGATTAAAACTTTCAAAGTGAGTGCAAGGCAAGTCTCTCTTAAAACATGGGCAGTCTCCTAGTGGTTGGACTGCTGCATTTCCTGCATCTCAGATGACCTCCTCAAGGTGCCCTTCCCATGAGCAAGTCCCAGCACACGGAGTTGCAGCTCTTTAGAAGCAACGGAAAGAAAGAGGGATTTGGCTCCTGGTACCTTTGATCACCAATGAGAAGTTGCCATCTGCGAAGGCGTTCTGGGGCATGGCTATTCTGCCTTGGTTGTAGGAGCTGTACACCCGCTGCTCCCCAGCGGAGTACATGTCACACAGCCTTTCCGCCTTGTAATCGCCTTCCGGGTTGCTGTACAAGTCCCAGTGGACCACGCGCTGGCGGTCATACAGGCGGTCCTGGGTCCAGATCATGCGGTAACTCTTGCAGGTCAGGACAGTTTGGGACCCAGCCACGGCGCTGACATTCGACACCGACACCACCACGCTCTCAGGGTTCAACGCATCAGCTGGCACTGTGAGCAGAGAGAGGCCGGACTGATGGAGTGTGAAATGTGAAATCTATACAGACCTTCCTCTCACAAGCAAAGTAACCCTCTTCCCCACACAATATGGACAGCCCTTACAGAAAAGTCCCACAGGAAGGAATAATCACTCTGTAGAGCTATGTCTATACTCGCGGCTTCTTGCGCGAGAAATATGCCAATGAGGCTAAGCGTGAAATATCACTGAGCCTCATTTGCATATCTAATGAGCCGCCATTTTTGCAGAAGAGGTCTTGTGCCAGAAGGAGCTGTCTACACTGCCCCTTCTTGCGCAACAAAAACCCCTCTTGTGCAATGCCACTATGCTGATTATTTTCAGGAATAACGGCATTGCGCAAGAGGGGTTTTCTTGCGCAAGAAGGGGCAGTGTAGGCAGCTTCTTCTGGCGCAAGAGCTTCTTCTGCAAAACTGGTGGCTCATTAGGTATGCAAATGAGGCTTGGCGATATTCCACGCTTAGCCTCATTTGCATATTTTTTACGCAAGAAGCCGTGAGTGTAGACATAGCCCTGGGGTCTAAAAAGTAATAGGACAATTGAGAAACTCCCTATGGACTGGTCCTCATTTTCTACTCAATCCTGTTATGTTGCTATAAAACCCAATTGGTTTAATCATCGTTTGAATCTATAGATCTGTTCCTCAGGTGTGGTTTGTGTGCGACTGCCATGGTATACAGCAGACCCGGCAGCTCGACTTAAGGTACACAACTCCAGCTAAGTAGAAAGTCTGAGTCTGAGTCTATGAACAACGAGAATACATTGCTGGAGTCGGCTTACCTTGGCAGCATCCTCACAGAAGGAGACCAACAGGAGCAAACGCTCCTGTTGGCTTCCCTTACTCCTGACAGGAGCAAGAGCACCGGACGCCAGTGGGGGCGCCCTCTGAGTTTGATTTAGCAAGTCTTAACTAGACTTGCTAAATCAAACTCTGGAAGATCGATCATAGCAGCATCGATCTTCCGCGGAGTGAAGATGTGCCCTTAGAAAAGTCAAATTCCAATGTTATATTATGCATTTAAAACTCCTCCTGGGCCCAGACAGCCTTCTCTGCTCGCTGGGTTTTGCTAGTGTGCACTTAGTCTACTTAAATTCCCTGTCAGTCACCCCAGGGAGCACCTCCTTCTGCTGCAGCTAAACTTCATGCTCCAGCAGGCCTGCCAACAGTAATTCTGGGCCCAAAGGCAGAACAGCCAATGGGTCCCACACATATACAAGTCATGCCCGCGTGGTCGCAGTCTGCCTGACGTTTGGGTGGTGCTGCACCTGTGCTGCTGGTGCCCAGCAAGCTGCCAGCTGTGCTACTGGCCATGCTCTTCTGGCATGGCCAGGGCTTCCACGTGGCCGCCAGGCAGGATTGCCAATGTCTAATTGTTGCAAACCCAAAGACCCTTGCCCTGTCCCTACCCTAAGCCCTTGCCCTGTCCTGCCTCTTCTCCCAGGCCCCACTCTCCCTTCCTCACTTCCCCGAGGCTGGAGCAGGGGGTCGGGGTGCAGGCAGGGGTGTGGGATGCAGGCTCTGGGAGGGTGTTTGGATACTTCTAACCATCCTAAACCAGGGCAGATTTAAAGGGCATCACTTACCTGAATACAAATGAACAACAGACCCTGTTGAAGAAGAAGAGAAAATAATGTTACTGACAAAGTCAACGAGCAACTATTAAATATATTCACAGCCAGCAGCCAGTATCTTGCCTTCATTTTTATTATTCCATCCTTCAGTTCTTCTTCAATATTGCGATGATTTAATATTTATATTGTGCTTGCGCCGACGGCCTCACAACCCAGCTGGGCCCTACGGTTCTAGGCCCTTTGCAAGCATAAGAAGTGAGAGTCCCTGACCCGAAGAACTTCCAGCAGATGAAAAAAACAAGCAAGTAGGAGAAGGGGGCAGAGACATGGAGACAAAAATACTGTAGGGTTTGGTTTTGGCTTTGCAGAGATAACCAGGGGCACTCTCAAGTAAATGGAGGGCCAGGAGTTTACCATGCTAATTAACTCTTTTTACCACCTTCAATCCCAGCAATCTGATTTGGCCCCTCCTCACATCTTTTCCATTCTATGGATTCTCTTCTGGTCATGTTACTTCTCCTACTCTAATTAGGGAAGGGAGAACAATGGATTGGAAACTTAGCACTTGCCGGCTTGCCTGGTATTTGTGGTATCTTTCAGAGACCAAACACTCTGCCCACCAACCCACCAATGATGTCAGTGGAAGAAAAACAGGGATTTCTTCCAGTCCTTGCCTTCGCCTTTTAATTTGCTGATCAGGCTAGAGGAGAGTTTATAATCCCAATTTAACTTCCCTCGATTGGCCCTGGGCAACCGGCAGCCCATCGGGGTTCTACATGTGGCCCAGGAGACATTTCGTTCACTGTTGCCCACGCGCAGGGTTGCCAGACTCTGCTGGTTTCCGTCTGTGTCGTTTTCCTCCTACTGGTGTTACTAAAGTGACACACGTGCAAAGCCAGGGCATGTGAAGTGAGGTGGGCGCTGATTGTGCACAGCATTGACTGTGAGAGCCGGGTGCTCCTTGTGCATCCAATCCAAGCGCTGCTACGGTGCAGCGGGCACCTCCGCAAATTCTAGGTACAGAAGCACAGTGAGCAAAACTGCCCTACCCCAGGAGGCCATCTTGGTTCTGACAATCTTGTGGGCCCCTGGGATGAAGAAGGGCCACTCATGCGGCCCACTCGCTAGCCTAGGTTGCCCTCACGGCTATCGATGAAGCGTCTCCTCCCTTAACTACCTTAATTCTGCACAAGAGCCACCAGGATAAGAGAAAAGAATGAAACGAAGCATGTGAACAACGCACCAGTGTGACCCAGAGTCAATGCCGAGGTGCAATTTACCAGCTGAGGACCAGATCCCGTGCACGGAAAGCTATTTAATTCCTCCCAAGATCAGGCCCATAATGTATCTGTATCTTATCTCTTCTGATGGGTGCAGGCTACAGGCAGGATTTGAACCTGACCTGCTGGGTATGTCTGACCAGCAACTGGGAGGCAGGACCGCAACTCATGCCAAACATCCCTGAGCTAGCATTGATTGAATTCACTTGCTAAGGGCAGCCACGGCTCCCAGGCCAGCAACACAAGCGAGCTGCCCTTGTACAATCCAGACTGGAATGGCAGGCACAGACTCAGGCAGCTAGCCCAGGCCACATGGCTGCCCTGCTGTTTTCAGTGAGGGAATTGGGGGTGCCTCCCCAAACTGTCCCAAAGGCGATGGAAAGACACCCGAGTGACGGCTTGCAGAGATTCTCCGGTGGCTAAAGGGGTGGAAGTGAGCATGTTTGGAACTACAGCGGGTCCTGTTCTCAGGTAGTCCCTGGCCTGCCTGATGCCTGTCTGGTGCCTTCCACGACAGTGCCGTCCGCCAGATTGCAGTCACCCCGTTTCTCAGCCAGAGGTTTGCACAGAGAAAACTACAGCATAGCCCTCTAGCTCACAGCCATGATTAGGGCTGGGAACATACTGACGGGGACCACTCCTGTGCCTGCCAAACCCGGCTCTACACAATGGCGACAAGACCCTGTCTACTACGGTCTGGTATTCCTCCCCAACATCTTCCACCACGGCTACCGACAGGGCAGCTCCACCCCCAGCATCCACGAGTGGAGACCAGGGGCTGATGGTTGAAAAGCCGGCAGCTAACAGGCTGGCTCTGTGCAGGGTGCCACGAGAGAGCAGCTGGGCAGGCCCAGAGCTGTTCATTCAGCGGGGGAGGAGCCTTCAGGTCACGCCCCCGCCCTTTCATCTGAGCTCTCAGATCCAGAAGAGGAAAGTTCCGCCTTTCTCCCGCCAACATCCAGTAAGAAAGGGTGGCAAGGCTCAATGGCATCTCTGCAGCTGCTGCCATGTGGAGCCGGCTCCCCGTGATGGTCCATTGCAATTCCGGGGACCATCGCTGGAGCATAGCTGCAAGGGAGGGCTGGGCGGCTGATGGAATTTGCAATGGTATTTGGAGCCTTCCCCTTCTAGGGCCTCTGTCTGAACCTGGTTCAGCTCTGTGCTACCCGTGTGAATTGATAATCTCATACTGGGTCCTTCTTAGAGGGCATCTAGACTGCTGCCCCAGCTGGCAATGCCAAGAGAGCCCAAGGACTAAATGGGATTGGAGATTCCACTTCCTTCTTGTTTCCCACTGGAGTAGCGTGGCGGGGAAGATCACTCTGCCACTCTTCTTATGGCTAACTAAAGGGCTTTGTTCTCCAAGGCTCCGGTGCTAGCGCCTTTCAGGAGAAAAGGCAGCAGCCCCTATGCCAGAGGGATGCAATTAACTGAGTACTAGTGTTTCATGAAAGGCAACAGGCTGATCAGAAAATCACAGATCGTCTGGGCAAGCTCATTGCCTTCGGGTGTGTTCTTGCACACTTTGCTGCCAGTACTAGCCAGAGAAACCCACCTGTGGACATCAAGAGCATGCCTGTTACATTCTGTCTCCCTCACACTCCTGGCTTCTCCGGGCTAGCACTGCCAGCTTCTCCAGCCCCTAGGCTAGGACTCAGAACTGCGTGGTGAGAGCTACTTCCTGGGATGTGAACAAATGTCTTTGTTTCCCCCTTAGGATAGCCCTGCACCGCCTGCTTGATGCGTAGGATGGGAAGTCCGGTGGGTCAGTTTTGCAACACAACGACAGCATTCATTTCCACCAGCCATCTGTTAACTATTTCAGCACAAACGGGTTACAGCAGGAAAATCGGTCGTTCTGTCCTGCGTGTGCCACAGGCACCCCGCCGCCCAGACAAAGACAAGGATTTACTTCTTGAAACAGGGAATAAATTAACTCCAGAATGGGGCTACTTCAAGCCCGCCCACAGAGAACATGCTCAGCAAAATAAATGACTCTTTCTCCGCCGCTCACAAAGCATTGGCAACACCACCACGGTGTGAGAGTGGCAGTTTCCATGCATGCGCCCCATTCAAAGAGACACCAAATGGAAGCCCTTTCTCCTCCACTTCTGTTTGCAGCTGTACACCCTGGGGAAATGCCAGTGTACTTTGTATCACTTCACAGAAAAGAAAGGGACGTGTTCCCCAGCTTTTTGTTCGAGATCCTGGTTCTTGTGGATTACAAAGCCCTTGAACATGAATGCTCAGGCTTTCATTTCTGGGAGCTAAAGCTGATCTAAGATACGCAGTGCCAGCTACACGAATAGCATAGTTGGAGTCCACGTACTTTAGACTGAATTTCTGCAGCAACCCCGCTGCTGGAAGTCAATGGGAGAAACTCTCCTGTTGATATCCCTTACTCCTCACAACATGGTGGATTACCGGAGTCGATGGGGGATGCTGTCAGGGGTTGATTTAGCAGGCCTTTGCTAGACTCTCTAAATTGAACCCCGGGAGATCGATCTCCACAGCATCGATCTCCTGGTAAGTGGAGACAAGCCCTTAGCTTGTGGCAAGGGGAAATGCCCTTCTATTACACACTTGGTCTGAGGATCCCAAAAAGTGCTTTACAAACGTGGCTCAAACAAGTCTCGCAACACGTCTGCCATGTAAGCATTACTTTTACTGGTGGAAAAACTGAAGCAGAAATGCTAAATAATTAATTCATGGTCCTACCTTGACTGTGGATTTGTCACATCTAACACCCATGTTCAGTCTTTAACTTCTTGGCCATGTGCTAATGACCTCAAGCTTCATGAGCAAGCCCCGAATAGCTGGGGGTGGGGAGAACCATCTCTCCCAGGGCTGCTAGCAGTGGACAACCACTGAAATCACTGGGATATACCCACATGCAGAGATGGAATAACTGGGACCTGGGTGTGATGGGACATCATGTCATTGTGCTGTCTCACGGCTCAGTGCTGCCATATATCCGTGTGACGGGGTGATGCTAACCAGCCAGGACAGAGTGTGGTTTGCATCAGGATACATGGTCACGATGAGGCGATGCAGTCAAATGACCTTCCTCCCCGAGCACAAAGTCCACCAGTTGGTGCTGCCCCACCAGCGCTGTCAGAGCCTGGTTTTGCTGCCCTTTAACAGGATTGATTTGATGCTACAAGAATCTCCTCTTGTGGGCAAGCCATGGGAATGAATTTGTTTTCCCCTGTCTCCCTTACAACTTAATGAAAAAAACGTGGAGGCGAACGGCAGAAATTGGACAGCTGACAAAGCCATCCGGCTCAGCCTTCCCAATCCAGAAACCCCCCATATGCTCCACGCCTGCAGCGTCCCAGAGCTAAGAATAGCAGAGCTCCTCACCCCCACCTCCCATTTCTGGATTTTGTTATTCGGCTGGTTTTATCTACTGGCATGGCCAGGGCCACACACGCCCTGACTCCCCTGTCTATGGTGGGCTGCCGGAGGCCCATTGCAGACCATGTGTGTTCCTCCACGCACTGCAAAACGTGGCTGCTCTGTGAAACAAGGCTGCGGAGCACGATGGTCTGTAACATCAGGGCAGCAGCCTCCAGGAGAGAGAAACTTCACAGAGCTCCTTCCAGCTTCCTTTCCATTCATCTGTTCAGGCTCTGCTAGCAGATCCTTGCAGGGGAGGCCGCCTTTTAGTAGTTGCCAGGCAACGGTACATCTGGATGCCTGGGTTCTCTTCCCAGCTCTGCAATTCACTCCTTGTAGGTCATGGCTCAGTGGCAC